CTCAGGGTGCCATCAGCCAAGCAATGCAGGCTGGTGACCCCCAGGGGGAGGGCCTTCTCTGTGGGGGCACCTACCCTCTGGAATCAGCTGCCCCCAGAGATAAGGAGGATCCAAGACCTCCGTGCCTTCCGCCGTTCCCTTAAAACTTTCCTTTTCCAACAAGCCGGGCTGGCCTAACAATGCCTTTTAAATGATTTTAAATTTATATGTTTCTTAAATTTTTTGGCCAAATTGAGATATTTCCTTTTAATTTGTTCTTAATGTTTATATTATGTGTTTTTATCAGGCTTTTACCCTGAGTTCCCAGGAAGAAGGGCGGTATATAAATTCGAAGTAAAAAAATAAAAGTAAATAAAATATCGTCACTGCTACCGGCTCAGCCGAACCGGACTGAGCCGGGAGGAACCCACCACTGAGTGTAACCCAATCTCAATCAATCAATTGATTTTTTTAAACCACCGGTCATTATAAATAGCAGTATAACACATTTTGTTAGATTGCCTTGCAGGTGTTTTGGCTTGGATGTCGTTGCACACCTTAAATATGGGTAAGACATGTTGCTGCTGCTGCTGTTATTGTTTTCCTGATCATCCTGTAACCATGAGACTATAAAGCTGGTTGTTTTCATTTCTGGACTAATGTAGCAGTTTGTTAGTTATACACTACTTTCTGCCTTTATTCAATCCAAAAGATGTCTGTAAGGACACTTTGTGATGTTTCCGCCTTCTGTCAAATTTCTCTTTTGGCAATATTTCTCTATAGACTTCCAATCTAATCACATTATCATGTTCCAAGCTCCTCCTATAGATACAGTATTCTTCATTATCCTCATTATCCTTCATTCTCATTATATACTTCACCAAGTAACCTGATCTAGTTTGTTCCATTTACTAGAATAACATTTTGTCTTTGGGTGTTTATGTCTCTGGTTCTTGTTTTGTGAAGTCAACTGCCTTTTGACTTCAATTAAAGTCTAAATTAATGCAATTTATAAAGGAGCTAAAATAGCTTTAGGTCTTCCTTTAATAGAAGGACTGGTTTTTTTGGTCTGATGAGTTAAGGACATCAGTGATGTCCTTATACTTTGTCAGTTCATGGAAGCTAGTGGAAATTGAACATTTTAAAATGATGTCCATATGCATGTATGTGTATAATTAAAAATTAAGATTCTTATATTACCTTTTACCCCTTTTACCTTATATTACCTTGTCTGGTTGAATTGATTGTTCCAGATTTTAGATTTTGGAAGTAAATTTATTCTTTATTGTTTCATTGAGAATTAATTGCATTTTAATTTTTAATATTGTATTAATTTATTTTGTATATTATATATTTATTTTACAGACTTTTAACACAATTATTTCCATGAAATAGTACTAATACTATGGCAAAAAAAAATAAGAAGGCACTTTTCATATCAATACCAAACTGGAAAACATTATTTTTTTCCTATGCTAGTAAAAATAGGGGATAAAAATTTCAGTGCACTGTTTTGATTTATATCCTCAACATTAACTCCATTAGATTTAATTCTGTAAGAAATCAGTAATTTTGGAACAGTAGCACTTTCCTGCAGAGCTGTTTTTCAAAAGTGAGGTTTTACTAGATTGCATATAATTAGCAATGACTATGGCTAGCAATGCTGCACCTCATATTAAAATGAACAAAGAAATAGCAGGTAAGAAGAAAATACATTTTAACTGAAGGGCAAAACTGTTACTATAATTGAATACCAATGACAAAATGAGAATGCATAATGGTAACTGCTGGAATAATGAAGCAACAATAGCGAAACCCAAGTTATTCCACATTCTTTTGTTGTTAACGATGATAATAGAGTTTTGTTTAGAAAAAAATGAATTTACAGTGCAATCAAAGAGTTTGTCTCAGCAGCACTGTCATGAATATGTAGCACATTGTTAAGAGTGATAGTATACATTGGTCAAATGAGATATTGGTTTTAAAAGATCTATTCATAAAAAGTTATTATTGAAGTAAATGGCTGATTACTACAGTCAAGTGCTTTCTTGTGGACATGTGTTTTTTGTTTGAAAAAGAGAAAGATGACTTAAAAGTGATCATTTTTTTAAGAACTTGAAATGATGGGTGAGGACAGAATCAGGTAAAATAGAATTGTTGGATGGAACCTGGATTGGGTCTTTAAAGAATTACAGTAACCAGGACTTTTGCTGTGGTTTGTTTTGTGATTGGAGCCCGATTTTTGAGTTCCGGCCACTGTCTGAATTAATCCCTGCTGTTTTCCTATCAAGGTTTTTAGAAGTGGATTGACATGGCCTTCTTCCTAGGGATGAGAGAAAGTGATTGGCCCATAGTTACCCAGCTGACTTTGTGCCTAAGGCAGGACTAAATCTCATAGTCTCCCAGTTTCTAGATTGACGCTTTAACCACTGCATCAAATTTTGCTATGGTATTTAAACAATATGTCTAGTATGTCAATATACAAATATCTAAAGGAAAGCTATTCCAGAATAGAACTCTGTTCCACAGAAATTTCTAAAGCCTTTGAGATGGGAAAAATTAAAACTGAAGAGGGTATTGTACATTGAATAGTGATAACGTAGCAGTACAAACATTGTCATAATAACAGCAATTGAATAGCAATAATATACAGTATCGTAATAGAGAAAGCAATAGAACAGAATATAGAAAGCACTTACATAACATGTTTATATATTTGCTTTTACAAAATAAAACATTTCCCCAACTTTCATAGGAAGAGCTCAATAAACCACTTGTCTGGAATCCAAGGCTCTTAGAACCTGGCTCAGCCTAACTGGGTAAGATTAAAAAAAAAAACAATATCCCCCTGAGATAAAATGGGCTCTAAAATACTACTCTAGTGCAGGAATTCTCAATTAGTGCACCCTGGATTTAAGATCACCAATCTTTTAACTGTGTAATATTAGCTCTAGCTATTGAATGAATAGATGGCGCAGCAGACTAAAGCACTGTTAAGTAACACCAGCTGCCTGCAATTACTGCAAGTTCAAATCTCACCAGGCTCAAGGTTGTCTCAGCCTTCCATCCTTTCGAGGTAGATAAAATGAGGACCCGGTTTGTGGGGGCAATAAGCTGACTTTGTATAAAAAAGAACACCACTGGGGGAGGGGGAAAGCCCTACTAAGCAGGTATATACAAAAGTGTGAAGGCTATTGCTTAACACATTGTAAGCCACCCTGAGTCTCCAGAAAAGGGTGGCATATAAATCGAACCAATAAATCAAACCAATAAATAAATAAAATATTCCTGTACTCTGCATGTCCCACGATAAATGTGCCTGTTATCTTCTTTTCTCCATGCCCATATTTTTGACTTTGGCTGGCCAACAACCTGCTTTTCCATGCACACTGAACCTGAGCTGCAAACATTTCTGGGTCATATTAGGTGACAAATACGAGATGTATAGGTCATTTTATAGTATTTAATATATATTTTAATACATTCTCCTAGTGACAGTCCCATGGCCAGATTGAAATAATAACTAAAAAGGACACTTTTTTTTTTAATTTTTATTTATTTACTAAATTTATTTGCTGCCCATTTCACCACCAGGTGAGACAAGACTTAATCTCATTTAAGCTAAAAGAACTACTCATAACTATTCTTTAGCTGAAGAAGCAACAAACAGAACTTGGAACCCATATTCTTCAGAAAAATGTTTACAAATAACAAAAGAACTTTATTTTTAGTCTGCCAATCGAAATAAAGCAAATATATTTTCACATCAACAATCACTACAGCAGAGTTCCCCAACCTTTTCAGCTTTGGGAACCAGCGGGCGGGGGGGGAGAGGGTGTGGTTCCCCACATGCAGCGGACAAGCATGCAACTCGGTGCAACTCAGTTTGCATGAGTGGCAGGCATGTGTGCCCACTGCTTGCACAAATGGAGAGCGCTCACCATCTGCTCTCAAAAATGGAGATGCATGTATTCGCCTGCCTGCCATTTCTGCAGCCCAGTTCCGAAAGACTCAAGCCCGGTAATGGGTTGCAGCCTAGGATTTGGAGACCCCTGCACTATAGAATCTTAGCAGTAGGAAAACCTGTCTTCAAAGAAAAAAACAAGGAAAATCCAGTTGCCTCCTGAAAAAAGCACTTTTGGGACAACCATGATCTAGATGACTGAGAAACTCCTTATAGCTGTAGGAAAAGTTAGTCTTTGCATTTGCTCTATGGTTTCAACTTCAGTCACAAATCCAAAGCACAAATTTTAATGTCTCAATATAAACTCCTTTATTAACACACCCAGTTCTATATCTGAATTGGACAATCTTCAACTTAATAAAGTTGAGACAAAAATCTCTGAAGCTGATATCAATAACATTTGATATATAGACAAAATTCTGGCTGCATGAACTTTAGCTTGTTCCATGGGAACAAAGCAATATTAAAGAATAAAATACGCACAAAGCCTTTAATAATATGTTGCCCATTGTATAATCTTTATTAAAGCAAACTGAAAGTGACTCAAAATTTCAGGTCACTTGATTGGTTTCATTGTCACTGATATGAAGGTATTATTTAAAGATCTAAAAGTAAAATCCAATAACAGAACTGGAAAAAAAGAGGTAAAACTCTAGGACCTCTAATACGGGGAGCTGCAATCAAATAATGGCTGACTTTTTCCCCATTAAGTATCAGGATCATATTAAATTAAATTTATATATAAAACACTGATCAGCACTGAAAATAATAGCCTAGAGGATGAATGCAACAGAGTGCTATGTTGTTAAATAAGCATCCAATTAGAGCTGTAATCCTACATGTTTAATGCTTTGAAATGGTATTTTATCTTAGCATTTTCCCTGTAGGGTAGCAGTAGAAGGCAGTTGAAATCTCATGATCCATACATTTCACATTTGGATATGAAAGCTCGACTGCTTTTCTGTGCATGTATAAAATCTGAATACAAAATAATCAAATTCCTTTGAAAGACCATGTAGGGTCATCTAAAGCATGAAAAAAAAAATAGAATACTCACGTGGATAATCTTTTGGATGTGATTTCTCTGACCAGTTTCCATAAAAGGTAAGCCTATATTTAGCAGTTCCACAGGCACAGCAGTCTATGATTGGCTTATCTGTCACACCGTCCATGGCGGAGTCTAATAAGAAATAATAATATAAACATTATTTTGTGTAATACGTAACTATAAAAGGGTTTTGTTATGTACCCTAACAAGACATTAGGCAACAGATTTTGTTCAAATTCAAATACAATAAGCATATCTGTGAAGGGATTTTATTAAATGAAGCAGAATTAGCACCATATATAGTGCAAAGATTGCTTTAAGTCCCTTCTGCCTGTCAGAAATTCCCAAGGATGATAGTAGATAGACCCTGGAATAGGCATGTGCACAGCAACTTCCCAGGATCCAGATATTTCATATGTTTCTTCTTTGCATGTGTACCTAGGACTAGAATAGTTTCCATGTCTATGTGTCCATGTTCTGACTGACGAATCCAACCAAAGCAAGCATGGCTGAGATAATCCAATCTCTTAATGCAAAACTTTATTGAGTACATCATATTACAGCATATTACATCATATTACAGCAAAGATGAGGGCAAAACTATTTCCCATGTAAACCCATATAGTTAAAATTCAGGTCTTCCCTCCCGACTTTAGACCAAGTCACATTGTCCAATGAAAACTTCTGGTATTGTTATGAGAAAGTTTTTTTGGCTCTGGTAAACACCTGCCGAAACATCCTTGGTTCCCATGGCTAGCATTCTGACATCTGGAGCTTAGTTCTATCTCCCCCTTCCCTCTCCCCATAGTTCGTTGGCAAGCTGAGAAGCAATAATGGTTGCAACAGCAAAAACTCCATTTGAAGCTTGACACTATGTTCTATTGCTTACTTACATCTGTTATTTACTTTATGTTGTCAACACTAAATGAGGCAAGGCAGTGGTGAAATGCACTTACCTTTGCTACCTGTTCGGGAATGTGAGCACATGCATCTCTCAGGGGTGGTTCTACTTATCTTTATTACTGGTTTGCAATGGGATCGCGCGCACGTGCATGCTCGCTTTGCTGACATGCGCTCCTTGCTTCTGCGCATTCATAGAAGCTTCTGCACATGTGCAGATCGCCGATGATGACATGGATGGGTAGATGGCGGAGCTTCCCGCCGGTTTTACTACCAGTTCTTACGAACTGGTCTGAACCGGGAGCAACCCACCACTGATGTCTCTTCTGTGTATGCACAGAGCCTTCTGCACATGTGCAGAGGGTCAAAAATGGGACATAATGACATCCCAGCGGGTGGGTGGAGCCTCCCACCACCGGTGCTAGCCAGTTCATGTGAGCTGGATAGATCTGGCCAGATTTCACTGCTGAGGCAAGGATATTTCTGTAGCACATAACTCTATACTCCATTCTTTCAGGGAGTATTACAAGCAAGTGATATTACATAGGCATACCAAAGTGTGTCCATACCTACTGATGCTACCACATTAGGACCAGTCCAATAACCCAAATAAGAAGTATGAGTAATCATTTGGTTCTTTTTCTGAATTAACTTCCCTAGGAGATAATTTCACATTTCATTACAGGAAGGTTAAACATTCAGCACTGGCTAAGCGCATACGGCATAGGTTCAATATTGAAAAAAACTGTATTTTAAGAAAGTGTATTTAATTGCCAAAAGTAAGGTTACATATTTATATGATATGTTTTCCTCACATAGTTTAATTCTAGAATTTCAATTTTGCTCAAAAAAAAAATAATAACTAGTAACACAAATCTTTCATAACCATTTAGGAAAAAGAAGTGTTACTTATTCTAATTCAACTTTATGAAGTCGCCAAACTTCGATAGTCTGCAAAATGTTGAAATTCTAGACTTGGCAAATACATTTTTGAGAGCCAATATATCCTTCTCTTTCTGTGTAAAATACAACTCTAGATATTTGTAAATGTCAGCTGACTGCACATGTAACCTTGAGTGCCAGGGTACATTTGTGATCGTGAACTAAGTTGGACCTAGAGATGGCCTTTTATTTATAAATGACTTCAGTTCAGCCGAAATCCTGTCTGATGGGAGTCAGAAGTGACAGAGGTTACCTGTCATTTTTCAAAGGTTATTTACATTCTTCATTTGTTGCTTCTTTCTCGACCTTCTGATTCCCTCTCCCCATTTTGAAATGAACCTATCTATGTGTGAAAAGACCTGAAACATAGTTCCATAAAATACCATATATACTGCATGTACAGGGGAGGATATTGACAAGAAAAGTATGATATTGTAGAATTCTAGGGTATCTGTAGTATCAATTCTCCTTGTTTTGTCTCCCATATTATGGTAGTCCCACCTTAAAATATCAAAAGACATAATTTGGGGAAAGATGTGTCTCAAATCTCTTCTCCCATTGGTATTTATGTTTGGATAGTAGAGATAAATTTCCCTAGGTATACTTCTAAACAACAATTCTTCATATAGAAATAGAAGCTTCCAAGAATTGAAAATTTATGAAAATTCTGCTCACTGCCACAGCTGTCTATGGTAGTGATATTACAGATAGAACATGGTGACATGACACATAAGCTAATGTTTCGTACATACCCAAATACTTAAGTTTGAGGTAAAAATAAAAACATGCCGTAAAAAAGAGTTTCAAAACATGTTGAGAGGCAGAATGTTTCCTTCTTTTAGAAACAAATGGGATGCATTTCGGATTCTTGACAAATTGTTTTGGCTTTTAATGCTTCCTTTGTCTTTTCTGCATTCAAGACTACAAAACAGACATCTCCATTTCATTTATGTAACTTGCTCCACTGACTTTCCTGAGCACATTCACCCTTTATGACATAAAGAGCTGTTTCAAAATGAAGGCAATCTGCATTACTAAATAGACTCAGAAAGTGAGATAGCCTGGTGAGTGTCAGATCTGTCATGTTCTATTAAATTCAGTTAAGCATCTTAGAGCACATACTTCAGGATATTTCAGGCAGAGTATAAAAGTCAAGGCCAAATTATGCTAATCCAGGATTCTTGGGTCAAAGGGAAAAAAGACGAAGGCCATTTGCCTTGGTATCCCTTTAAAAATGACTATTATTGAAAGAATAAACAGACACAAATAAAATAAATTGCAGTGGTAATTTCCTCTGCAGGGCTGCATAAAGAATCACTAGTCTTGTGCAAGAAGATCCAGAAAGCATTTTCTGGAAGGCTTCAGCATAAAAATTATGCATGTTGAATGTAATCTCAAAAGAAATTAAGCATCTGGAGAACCCACATTTTACAAGCCTTCTGAGTAAAGTGTTCAGGCAAATGAAAATGTGGGAGATACTATATGACTCAGTGCTGGGTTTCAAATTTTTTTACTACCGGTTCTGTGGGTGTGGCTTGGTGGGCGTGGCATGGCTTGGTGGGCGTGGCTTGGTGGGCATGGCAGTGGAAGGATACTGTAAAATCTCCATTCCCTCCCCAATCCAGGGGAAGGTTACTACAAAATCTCCATTTCCTCCCGATCAGCTGGGACTTGGAAGGCAGCAAATAGATTGGGGGGGGGGCAGTCAGAATTTTTACTACCGGTTCTCTGAACTACTCAAAATTTCCACTACCGGTTCTCCAGAACTGGTCAGAACTTGCCAAAACCCACCTCTGATTTGACTAGTGCTGTTGTAAAATTGAATGACCTGTCCAGTTTGCTTCTGTTAAGGAAATGGGGGAAAAAGTACATCTTTTTTCCTTTAGATGAGCTGCGATGGTGCAGTGTTTAGAGTGCAGTACTACAGGCTACTTCTGCTGATCACCAGCTGCCAGCAGTTTGGCAGTTCGAATCTCACCAGGCTCAAGGCTGACTCAGTCTTACATCCTTCCAAGGTCGGTAAAATGAGGACCCAGACTGTTGGGGACAATATGCTGACTCTGTAAACCACTTAGAGAGGGCTGTAAACCCCTATGAAGTGGTATATAAGTCTAAGTGCTATTGCTATTCTCTTCTGACAAAATATTTTAGGTTAGCTGTGTGAAAGTGGCATGATGAGACTGCAAGAAGCAACTTGCATGTCATTATGGTGGCAACTGCAACAAAAAAAAAAGCTACTTTGCATTATTTCTGCACCTGAGAGATAAAAGAAAGATGAGTAAATATAACTTCCTTGCTTCTGTCAGTAGGCCCAGAAGCAAGTAGGCCCATGCCAGTTGCTTCTGTCAGTAGGCCCATTACTCTGGCAGGTGTAGCTTCTTCTAAGAATGCAGTTTGTCTGAGGTGTGTACCATCCCTATAAGGTAGACTACAGTACTTCATAGGAACAGAAATGTGCAAACACTGATTGTGTTTCCTTTCCTCCCCCGTTTTAGTTTCATGACAGTTAGGGGTCTCTCCCCACCCTCTCTGAGGTGTGTGTTTGTTTGTTTGTGTGTGTGTGTGTGTGCTGTCTGAGACAGTTTTGCAAACAATTTTTTTGGCCTGGGTTCAAGTTTCATTTATCTGATCATTACCTCGGTAATGAATCTTCCCTCTGTCCTTCAAGGCCAGCTTGTTTATTGACTACAGTGTGTGTTTTATCACACACATTTGATTTACTGGGGGAGGCAATATCCGCATAACCTTTGTTACTACAATTTGAGAATGTAGTCCCTTTCCCAAATATATAAATTAGCAGTTCTACACATGCTCTTCTGTAGTATGTGGGAAAGAGTCAAATGTTCAGAACATCAGTTTTGTTTGCAACAATGCAACTTTGTTTCAGCAGGCCTAAACATATATTGTTCTTTTCTATATTTCTATCCAATCAGTAAACAAACTTTAGTACCCATTATGTGGGCTTGGGTGTTTTTGTTGCTCCATTCTAAATTCCACCAAATTATTTCTGTCGGTACATAGACTTTTCCAAGGCTACAATCCTGGTCAGATTTCCCAGTGCACAGAGCAAGAGTTATAGTCTGGGGAAATCTCAGAACGAATTTAGGAAATAAATGTTTGGTTCAAAAACAAGACTCTGCTACACTATTCCAGCAACTGAAACCCTTCATTTGATCTTGTAGAAGACTAACTTCATTCTAGTTATTGTTTTGAATCTACTTTATCAACATCTGCCAGCAATATAAAGGCTACTTTGTGAAAGGTCGGCAGTTCGGCAGTTCAAACCCCTATTACAGGTCTCCTGCGTGAGCAGGGGTTTGGACTAGATTTAATTTAATTTAATTTAATTAATTAAATTTATATGCCTCCCCTCTCCGAAGACTCAGGGCTCCGATGACCTCCAAGGTCCCTTCCAGTACTGTTACTGTTGCTATTATGAATAGCAAGAAAGATCTACATAGAAAAAGCACCTAAATTTACTTGTTTACAAATTTAAACATAGATGAAGTCCAAGTCAAGATCATTATAAATTCTGAAAGAAAATTCATTTGTAACATAAATGAATGTAACATAACATTTGCAAATAAACAAGTTCAAAAGGTAATTTTGATGATGCAGTTAATTTAGGAAGTAGTAGAAATTTGTCAAAACATATCAAAGCTGACAGATTTTTTTGCACTGAAATAAATATGACTGAAAACTATTTAAATTCAGCTGGCATGGGCTCCCAACTAAAAGAGAGAAATGTTGTGGGCAAATCATATTCATCAGAGAGCAAGAACAATAGAAACAGAAAAAGAATATTCACCATACCTTGCTCACACAATCTCTTCGTGAGAGATCCTTCATCTTGAAAATAAATAATTCGCTTTTGTACAATACTTGCTCTGTTTGGAAAGAGAAAAATATAGCATTTATAAAAAGCATTAAATAATTAAGATATTAAAAGTAAACTTAGTGCAGGAAGTAACCTTATTTTCATTATATTATATCAATAGTTTAAATCTAACTAAGCCGATTTGGAGATAAGAATTGAAATAAGTGTGTGTGTTCTTTTTTAAAAAAAACCCTATTCCTATCCCATCCCTTTCTCACTTTCAGTAAATCAAATTGTACATGGATGATTAAAAACTCTATGGACTATACAGCCATGAAACCAATGTTCTCCTTCCTTTCTCCTTCTTGTTGATATGCCACAACACTCCAGATATCTCTTAAGAAATATAATGTCTCATCTTACTTAACATCCTCTATCATTTGTAAGAAAGAGAACTATCAAATAATATTATAATAAGTCACAAGTGAGATAAGCAAATAATTAGACCACAGAAATTCCCAGTCCATTATATAGGGGGGAAAGGGGATTACAGTTCCAACTCAAATGTCATTTTCTGCTCTTGTTTCCCATGAATAATGTTACTAACTCTGAAAGGGTGTATTCCAAATCCTCCTTGGTGGTACAAATTTCACTTTATTGGTCATGTTTCACTCTAAACCCAATGATAAAGAGGAAATATAAACATTTAAATACCTGAGTGATAAATTATCAAAATTCTACAAGGTCTTTCATCATGTGAATAAAGTTGATATAAGACATAGTTATAGAGCAGGAAGCCCTTACATTAAATTTCTTCTCTATCATGAATACTCTGGGGGTCTTATTAAAGCTACTCTATTCTCTTTCTACATTTGTGCATGTGCTTATTTTCATTCTGATTGCAATCTGCACCCGCCTCTGCTAAATTCTGCCACCATTCTGAGAGCAATGACATCATTTTTTTAAACCATAGAATGTCTACAGTTTCAAGCATGATACTTTTAAGTAGGATTTAAGATCCCCATCTTACCAGCACAGTCATGAAAGAACTAGAGAAGTACTATAGATTCAAGACAGAGTATTTCTGCCTGCTTAAAGAATGCCTTCCTTAAGTATAACTGTGATGGAATTCTTCCAGCTCCAAAAAGGATTGAAGGACCCTTTACAGAAGGCTGTCGGGAATTAAGGAGAGCCACAGTGAGAAGAAAAAGGCCATACGAATAAAAGTCTGCTCACAAAAGTCATTGTTTTCATTCTCAGAAGCTGCTTTTTTGTATAGCCCAGATAGTTTTGAGATGATGCATCCAGTATTTTTGAAATATCAGACACTCTTTTGTAAAATTTACAGTCTTGTACGGCCACAAAAATGGAACAGACAAAGTTAAGCACAAAGCCAGATTTTTGAAAGTCTCTTCTTGCTCTTTGATGTTTAGAGTTTTTATGGACACCAATGCACTTTTTTCTGTATTGGAAATTCCAAAGTCACCAAAAATACAATAAGACATCTTTTCTTTAAAAAATATACTCCCAGAGCAAATCAGTTTCCTTTAAATGATATTTAAATATTAAATACTAATATTTATTTTAAACCTATTATGATAAATGTCCATTTCTATCTGTGGGTATCAGTAAGTATCATGGGGATGTGTGTAGACATATGTAATTCACTTCTTTGAAAAAGTTTTCTTTGCTTTGTTCTAATTTCAACCTACTTTTTTAGCACCAGACAAAAAAGAAATTGTCAGGGTCTGTTCTGTGCCTCAAGTAAAAAATGCCACTTATATCATTATAAAAAAAATATAAATGATTAAATACCATTTATTTGGAAACCAGCAATTTCAAAGAAAAAAGGAACCTCTTTATTTCCCTTTATCATTTTGCTGCATTTGTGAATTTCATAGGCCATGAGATAACTGACATCTTGCTATAAATCTCAAACCTGTGGCTATGAAAACACTTCATATGATAGTGTAGAAACTGTCACTATTATTGTGCTTTCTTTTTTATTTTTTGTGTGCTTTCATTTGCCTCTCTCCTGCTTTTTTCAGTATCTCAAATCTTCACATTTACAATTACAAATAACAAGAAGAAGAATCATAACAGTACAACTAAAGGGAAAAGTATAAATGTTTAGGGCATACAACAAGGGTGTATTTGTGCCGGGTAATGGGTGTAGTATATGTAATCTTCGGTGTAATGACCCAAGAACACAAAAATGAGGTTAGAAGAGCCACAGAGGCATCATTTTGCAAGATAAAAATGAGAAATCCTAACATTTAATTATGTAGCTTGTAAAACGGTGGCTCCAGAATATACCTAAAAATAAGCCTATAGAGATAACAGGTCTAGGTTGTAAAAGCTTAGAAGAACCCTAAATCAGGGATGGCGAACCTATGGCACGCGTGCTGGAACTGGCACGCAGAGCCATCTCTCCGTGCACACCAGCCATTGCCCGTTTCTCTTCCAGGTTCTGGTGTGCACATGCACACCAGCCAGCTGGTCTTCGCACGCACAGGAACACCAGAAACCGCAAGACCAGCTCCCTGGCACGCATGTGCATGCTGGAAAGCTGAGCTTCCAGTTTCCGGCAAGTGCATGTGCACCTGCCAGCTGGTCTTTGCACATGCATGCGCCTCAGAAACCAGAAACTCAACTTCCCAGCGCGTGCGTTCATGCTGGGGAACTGCTCTTCCGGTTTTTAATGCTCTCGCACATGTGCACCGGGGAGCTGCTCTTCTCCTTTCCAGTGCTCCCCTGCCCACCCACCTGTGATCCTGTTTTGGCACTTGGTGCCAAAAAGGTTCACCAAAATTGCCCTAGATGATAACAGAGAGTTTTCTATATGCTTTTACTTCTATCTAGAGGTCATTTGAATTTTTGCACCCCAGATCTAGCAGCCCTGATGAAAGAGCTTACTAGATGTGGCCCATTACTTTGACTGCATGGTTTTATAGGTCTATGCATACTATACTGAATAGTTAATTATTTGCTATAACTATTTACAGACATCCAAATACAAGTAAAATATCTTGTTATACACATGTTTAAGCTTATGCCCACATGAGAAATACCCTCATTAAATTCTGTATATTTGTTTGGAAGGGAAGATGTGTGACTAATAATATGGTTCATTTTTATATTTAAAGGCTTTCTACTAAAAAAAACAACATTGGAAAGTAGGGAAGAATATAGCCCAATAAAGAACACATTTTCCTGACAAAAAACATCAAACCAAAAGTTATTATTTTACAGTTTTCCATTTTTAATGGATACAGAAGATCAGAAGTTAGCTCACCTGGAATTAATCAGATGCTGTCATCAGAAGAAATTAAGGATAAAAATTATGGAATTTGGCATATGTTTCTCACAGGGGTAAATATGTTTGCTGGAAAATATTGCTGTTTACAGTTCATTGGCTCTAAAACATGACATGAAATATGAAAAGCTAATCATGTCATTTACCTATTTGGCCACTTTAACATACTAGTTAGGGTATCCCCCCCCCATAAGATTCCTGATTCAAATGATATTTTCCCACAAACCTGCCAAGTCATCCTTAGGCAAGTTAGTCTCTTTCAACCACTCTACATGGCTAGAGGGAGGATTAGAAATATACAGGATAATTGAATCACACTATGGGAAGTACTGAAACACTCAAGCACTACATAAATGCCAGGAATTATTAATATTGGAAAGTGTTGTTTTCATTTGTTAGGATAATAATCCCAAGTGACCAAGCATGGAGTGTTTAGTATGCTTCTGTGACACAATTAAGTATTAGATGTCCCCAATGCACTATCACTATCATAAAATGATAACATTAATAAGCCACTTAAAGTAATTATGAACATTCCAAACAGTTTTTCCCCTAAGCTATTTGATTAAGGGTTTGAATATTTATAAGATTTCTGCTCCTTTTGTGCTAACAAGATTTCAGTTCTTGCTCTATTAAATTGGGTTGGATTTCCCCCCCTGCAATTCATTTAACTTCATCATGATAAGCCATCTCACTTCATATATGTGTCATTTGATTTAAATCAGTTTGGTTTCTTTTAGATATCACTGTCAAAGTGTCACTGCAGTTAGTGGACCCAAGCTTTGATATGTACAGATGTAATTTTAAGGGCTGAAGCTGGCAACTATAAGTCTTGGCCTTTAGATCTCTTAACCATTGTCAGATAATATTCTTGAGAATTACATATGAATCCAAGAAACTGCAGAATATATTCTGCACTTTCTTGGATTCATATGTAATTCTAAAGACTATTGTCTGACAGCGTTGAGAGATCTAAAGGCCAAGATTTAAAATGTCCCTTTTAACATGTTTTTTAAAAGAGCTATGGTGGTGCAGTGGTAGAATATAGTACTGGAGGCTACTTCTGCTGACTGCCAGCTGCCAGCAGTTTGGCAGTTCAAGTCTCACTGGCTCAAGGTTGACTCAGCCTTCCATCCTTCCGAGGTTGGTAAACTACGTAGAGAGGGTTGTAAAGCACTGTGAGGTGGTATATAAGTCGAAGTGTTATTGCTATTGGTACATGTGTGTGATATATGCAACAGACATTAAAAAAGAAAGAGGTTTTAACTGCCCGTTTGCTCTTGTTATTGGACCTCACTGCAGATGCTTCTGAGTTATCAGCCCCAGAGTTTAAATCTTAAGCCTTTCCCTCCCAGTCTTTTTGACTCAATTGAAAATTGGCTATTCATTTCTCAGTGCCTGGATTGCACTTGATGTACAGTATGTTTGTACAATGATTCATCTAGATTACGCAGTTGCCAGTTTCAGCCCTTAAAATTACATCTGTACATCAGTGGTAGGTTTCAACATTTTTTACTACCGGTTCTGTGGGTGTGGCTTGGTGGGCGTGGCATGGCATGGCTTGATGGGTGTGGCAGGGGAAGGATACTGTAAAATCTCCATTCCCACCCCACTCCAGGGGAAGGATACTGTAAAATCTCCATTCCCTCCTCAATTCAGGGGAAGGTTACTGCAAAATCCCCATTTCTTCCTGATCAGCTGGGACTTGGGAGGCAGAGAATAGATGGAGGCGGGGCCAGTCAGAATTTTTACTA